TACCTTTTCTTTCAAAGAAACTTGGCGGGCGAAAATCTTGGCACCTTTTGGCGACAGTCTTGTTGGCCGTAGTCGTTCCTCTTAACGCCAACCGCTGTTATCCGTGTATTGGTAATCATCATAGCTGGCTTCCAATCGTCTATTTCGGCTTCTTGAATACTATTTATGGCATATCTTTCAACATTATGGAAGTAAATCACTCGTCTTTCATCGCCACCGTAGCCGACTCTGTTGAGGAATATACAGCTATAAGCTCAATGAGGTTTATTCTGAACAACTTTGTTTGAAACTCATACTTTATGTGGCTCTCATATATGTGTTTCAGGTAGCTTTATAAATATCCCTCTTCCCCCTCTCGCCTATAATGTTCTCCTGGTAACTGATTTTGGTTTCTTTGGAGGATGTAATTCAATTGAATTTATAACTCATGCATGCGAATCATCCTCAAAATATCATATCAATTATGGGAGTTATAAAAGTAAGCTTGGGCAATTCGCTCATGGTACAAATGAGTAGGATGTGATGTTTACTTTCACGTAATATAATGTAAGCATGAGTAATGAGAGGCCTTATGTCCCACATTTATTTTTCCAGAATAATGTAGGTGGCATTAAAGAACGATTTCTCATATTCATGTCTTTTCTCTGATTACAAGGACAATGTTCAGCTTCATAAGTGGCATTTTCATTTACATAGTCGCCTGGGGTCTTCTGGGACAAGACAAAAGCGATGATTTGGGACCTCACAGCCTTCCAGAGTTTCTGGTTAGTAACAGCAGCCATAATCGTTTTAGACCTATGGTATACTCAACTTGCCATCGACGTAAGGTAAATGCAAACGAAAACTATTAGCAGTTTTAACACTGTGTAAAGAAGAATTTCATCCACTCCCTGAGCTGCTTGTTTGCTTTTTCCACTGCTGTATTAGCTTCTTTTATCTTAGTTTTTCTTCCGTCGGAATATCAGTTGCTTTCTTGTAAGTTACCTCTTGATTGGTTCTTTCTTTTACAGTATCTTGCGTGCATTCTTAGTGGAACAGGTGTCTTCCTTGCAGCCATTTTTCACATTGGTGTAAGGGAACCTAAAACACGCGTAAGAAGAAAGAGCACCATAAACAGTCTTATGGTAAGAAGAAATGATATCTTAAAATCGTAGTTTTTGTTGAAGTGCTACACGTGTAAACTCTTTTTTTTTTTGCGTCGTTAATCCAGGTAACTTCTAATGGCTAATTAAGGCTCTTTTATGACTGTCCCTTAGTTCTTCAACTAAATTAGATACACGAAGTTCAATTCTAAAAGACTATCTGGTCATATGATTATGTCTTTTCCACGTGTATGTTTACTACAACATCTTTTCCGAGCTTTCAGACTGCCATAGCATCATAAATGTTGAGAGTAACAAGCCCTTTTATAGTTACATGTAAACATGTCCTACGGTCGGCAGCAGTAGAAGACACGATCTACATATGTGTTGCAAAATCTATTCTATGCTGTCCTCTTTCTCTTAATTTGTAGAATGCTCCTGGCATATTCCTGAATGCGTTTGGGTCGCAAAATGCCGGTAAGTCTATGAATTGCGCGGTTCAGATAGCGTTGCATGCTTTTGCACTTCTCGTAGAATGGCAGATTTATCGTCCCTCCAGTATCAAAATGATGTAACAAAGCATTATTCAAAGGAAAACACCACTTTTCCTCTTCTCATAGACTTGGTTTTGTGTCCTGTTCCTTTTTAACTAAGCCATTCATATATGTTATGGAACCCTCATTTTGAGGGAATTAATCATGTAGGTTGTATGGATCCTCCATGTAACGAAAATTTGAAGAATTTTCTTGTGTTCTCATATCAGTTGTAATCGTTAGAATCTATAATTCTACCTTTAAACTACGATGCCAAACATTTCAAAGCTCAATGATTGATTTTCTTTTTTTATTGTTTAGACACTAGAAGAAGGAGCATCGCTTATAATTTTGTTGACATGATTTTGGCTACAACTGAATATGAAGAAAAGCAAAGTGAGATGAGTGGATGTGAAGAAAGTAGGGGTCATGAAGGGCAAAGAAGAAAACGAAGTCTATTGCAGAAGTTTGTTGATGCTCTATTCTATGACGGGGAAACTGACAACAATAGTCAAAATCAGGATCAGTTACAGTCTGCTACTGAGGAAACCACTAAGAATCCAAAAAGTGAGGATGCACAAACACCAGTGTTTTTAGAAGTACAGCATCTAGATCCTGAACGAAAGAGGAGTCTCTTAATGCGTGTTGTTGATGGACTAGTGTTTAGATTACAACAGGAAGAGCAAGTGCAGCTCACGTGTATTAATAGTATTGGAGATCAAATTGCAAAGGACGGTGAATACGACGAGTGTGTAACTGGCGAAAATTTCTGGAAGGCTGGAGAAGAAGAGATCGAAAGCGCTCCTGACGAGAGCGAGTGGGAACTGACCAACAACGTGAGTTCCGCTAAAGATAAGAATGGAAACGAGGAGGAAGGAATTTACAGAGAAGACCAGAATGAAACCAGTGTTGATGACAGTACTCAGAACTTTCCGAAACAGGACTGTATGGAGGAATTAGGAAATGACAGAGAAGATCAGAATGAAAGCATCCCAGAAACATCATTTCGGACCAAACGCAACCAAAGAAAACGTGGAATAGCGCATTTTCCGGTTGGTAGTAAATGTGGTCTCTCTAACTCTGGATTTGAAGGTGATGAAAGTGATAGTGATAGGAAAAGAAGCGTCAGCAGTAAACTAGAAGGGAAGCGAAGAAAGTCTGTGCATTTCTCTTCTTCTGAATTTTCCGGAAAGCTGTCAATGGACGAGATAGAACGACAGAGTTTAAATCTTGATTACACGCCTAAGAAGAAAACGAGTCTGGAGGAATGTACTCAGAATTATCCTAAAGAAGATTGCAGAGAGGATGTAGGAATAGAAACTTATGAGAGTAGAAACGAATCTTCAGCTGGAGGAGACAACCCCGAACTACTTGGTGTCCCTGTTCCATTGACAAATGGAGAACGAGGACCTGAGAGAAAACAACCAAAAGGAATCAAAGAGTGGCTGAGGGATCCAGGATTGTATAAGGTGAACATTTGCTTTTCCAACTATTCTTGTTTTCTGGATTTCATTATATAATTTTTTTTATTTTTTCTCCTTCTACTTCATCTTTTCATTTTCAGGTGGCCATTATCTTCGCATGTTCACGCCATGCACTGGACCTTACGAACACTTATTTACCGCTTTTCCTTACCGAAACATTGCTACTTCCTAAGGTATGAGTCGCCTTTCATTTCGGTCACCTTGTTTTCAATATCATTTACATTATAACATTTTTATTGTTGTTTTGGATTAGGAATCTACCGCCTATTTTCCACTCATACTCTTGATCTGTGCCTCTTTAGCAAGTTCAGCCAGTAACAAACTAAACAATAAAATTGGGAGTAAGGTAAGGCTGTAATTTTAAATCGTAGACAAACAGCTTTATCTAGCTGGAGCAGAAGCGTATTTTAGTTTCTTTGTGATGTCTGAAACTCTTTGACCGTTCAAAAGTTGCCAAGGACATATTCGTCCGTGAATGATTTTTTCTTTACAAGGAGCAATGATTCCAGGGATCCTTTTATAACTTTGCTAACGTCAACTAGACTAGCGAGTTCAAAATTAGCCAACCGTCTTATCCTATTTGCGAACAAGATAGTTTTCAGTTCACATTGTTGCTCCAAACAGTTTGCAGGACGCTTGTGACGAACATTATTTCTTTCCTTTTTCCCTTTCTTGTCGCAGAACCAACAAGAACCTTGTTTTGTTAAATGAGTCCTACTAATCCTCACACATTGCTTAATTTTCACATCTAGTGGAGTTACCTTCTGGCAGGTTTATTAGTGATGGGTGGTGCTGTTTGGAGTTATTTTCAAACCGTCTCCACTAGACAGTCATTTTATGCACCAGTGGTCATAATAGGAAGTGGTATGTCTATTATGCATGTCATGGCACTCGTCTTCATTATGGAGTTGATCGGGGAAAATAAGGTGAGATTTATGAGACAAATTTCGATTTGTTTTAGAACGATTAAATTCGCTAAGGAGGTGGTCGATACAATAACAGTTTCCTCGTAACATGTCACCCAACCAGCAGATCAATGAGTTACAATTTTGGAAGTTTTCTCAAGAGCGAAATTTGATTTAATGACGCAGAGTACAAAAGAAAGTGATCACAATAGCGTATATACCAGAGCAAAGGAATATATTTCAAGTACCTAACAAGAACTAAATTTTAAAAAAGGCAGACTGCCTTCACCGGGAAAATGTTGACCAAGTTGTAATCGGTTTCAGTTTTATGGCATGAGCCGTCGAAATCAATCATAGAGGACAGAGCTGAATGACGTATGTGCATGCGCCAAATTTTGCCGCGAAAAACTGATTTTGAGTCGTTCGCATGGTTGATTTCCTATCCTGTTTCTTCGAGGCGTCGTTTTCCTCGCTGCTTTTCTTTTACAGAACAACCTCCAAAAACTTTGTACACTCCCTAAACCGAAATTTTCCAAAATTAATTTTCTCCTTAAAAACTCTGGAAATAGGAAAATGCCTTTGAGGACGATAAAATGCCTCGGTTTTGAATGTCAGTCCTTCTTATTTTGCGCGCATTTCGCTAAATTTTAGACCTCGCACGCTTGAGCCCGCGCAGTTGACCGCATACCCTCTGACGTAATAACATTTCGTTATTCAGCCCTGTCATCATAGAGCGGATTGAGATTTGCTCCAATGTTCGCAAATATGATTTCCTCTGTGAGTTCAATAACTTGATGGAGCAATTTCCTTTCAGGAAAACAGTGGATCAGTGTTTGCCATTATCGATGTGATCACAAGAGTTTCAAACGGCTTAATTTTGCTCGGTATACAGGAATTTTACCCAAACGAAAGGTTAGCAAAAATCTTATTGTGATGTTGCCTTTTTAACAGCTTAACTTGACATTTTTGCAGGATTTTAAGAAAGAATTAAAACGTCAAATAGTGAATAATTCCCTACTCTCGATTTAGAACCAACTCAAAGGATGTAGTTACCAACTATGTGCGACATGTGTTTGCATTGACGGCCGGAATTTTAACTCTGGTGGGATCCCTAGTGGTTTTTTTTCTCCAACCGTCAAATTTTATCAACAAAACAAAAGGTAAGGATATCATTGGGCTGAAAGAGTTTTATGACAACGGTAACATGGGGAACGATGGCAAACTTCTTTGAATTTTCTCTCAGTAATTGGTTTGAAGTATTGCTGTTCTTGCCGCACTTGTACATGTCATCTTATTGATAGACACAGGACAGTAGACATGTATTTGCATCGCCATGAAAGCGGTTATCGTGGATTTACTTTAAACATTTAAGATCGGTTTGGGTCTTACTGGGTTGTGAGCGAGAAAATATTTCCCAATTCTTATTTCGATGGCAAGTCAGTTTTGAGGTGGTTGCCGCTGCACTGAATTCGAAGGAAAACTTCTCCTTTTGCCTTTCTTTTTTCTTTAGCTTCACAGGATGTTGAAGATCAACCTTACCAACCCTCGTTTGATTTTCATGTTCTCCAGTGTCCAGCTGAAGAAGCAGCGTCAATCAACAGCTCCGATACTTATAAACATAACCAAATCGTTACAGTGCATTCTTTATCAGAGAACACAGGACTTTAAATTCTTTGAGAATTCTATTTAGTGTCACAATTGGTTCACTGCCTGCCAAAGATCACGCCCTTAATTTCAGTTCCCATACTTCGAATCGTAGATGTTTCAGTTTGAACAATTAAGTTAAAATGGAATAGTTTGTGAAGTTAACCCTAGTCAAACTACGTTTACCTTTAACGAAGCATATATTTAGATGTCAAGGTAGGAAAATGTCATGCATACCGTAGAA